CTCCAGATGTGGCCAAACCAGGCTTTTGTATAGCTGGAGCATAACTTCACGGCTCTTGAACTCAACCCCTCTATTAATGAAAGCTAACACACCATACGCCTTCTTAACAACTCTATCCACCTGGGTGGCAGCTTTCAGGGAACTGTGAACATGAACCCTAAGATCCCTCTGCTCCTCCACACTGCCAAGAATCTTTCCGTTAACCCTGTATTCTGCTTTCAAGTTTGTCTTTCCAAAATGAATCACCTCTCACTTTACAGGGTTAAACTCCATCTGTCACTTCTCAGCCCAGCTCTGCATCCTATCAATGTCCCTTTGTAACCTAGAACAGCCCTCCGCACTGTCCACAACGCGACCCACCTTTGTATCGTCCGCGAACTTGCTAATCCATCCTTCCACTCCTTCATCCAAATCATTTGCAAAAATCACAAATAGAAGAGTACCCAGGACAGATCCTTGTGGTACACCACTCGTAACTGAGCACAATGTTGAATATTTTCCGTCCACTACCACCCTTTGTCTTCTTAGGGTCAGCCAGTTCTGAATCCCAATCTGCCACATTTCCCCCTATCCCATGCCTCCTTACCTTCTGCATGAGCCTACCATGGGGAACCTTAGTAAACGCCTTACTTAAATCCACGTATACCACATCCACTGCTCTACCTTCATCCACGTGTTTGGTCACCTCTTTGGGTTTCGGTAGTGGGTCTTCGGTGCGGGTGAGCAGTTGTCGTAGGGTTGATGAGGGTTTGTGCGCTCCTCTGATGCCCAGTGGTCGTAGGAGTCTTGTGGTTAGTTCCGATGTGTTCCTGATGTAAGGTACCGTGATGGGCGTGTCGGGGCGTGTATTGTCTTCCTGGTGTCGTTCGTTTAGTAGGCATCTTCTTCCCCAGTTTTTTGGATATCCATTGTCCTTGAACACCTGGAAGAGGTATTCTTCTTCTCGGCATAGCCCTGTACTGCTGCAGTGTCTTGTTGCCCGTTTAAATAATGTTCTCACGCAGCTTCGTTTATGTGTGTTAGGGTGGTTGCTGTTGAAGTTCAGTACTTAGTCAGTACGTGTGGCTTTCCTGTGTACCTTCGTTATCCCCGCAAACAACTCTACTTCTTACATGGATGCCTCAGGAACCACGTATTACCATGCAGTGTGAGATACAAACCACCCATCAACTACCCACAAGCCCGCAAAACAGCTGCAGGATGGTAAAGGTAATGATAAACGACGCACACAACCGACTCCACAGATACAACAGAGAAATTATGCGCCAAAAAACTTTATTCCAGGAAGCTACCAACCAGGACTGGACAATGGACATGGAACAAGCTATCAACATCAGCCAACACACACAAGAGCTAGGAAAAGACAGACCCTTCGTGACAAGCTAGCCACACTTACCCACCAAAACGACAACAACAGAGCTGACACCTGGATAAGAAACTTCTCAGACACGAAACTAACAGACACAGAGAAAGCCGTTCTCATCCATGGACTTAACTATAACTACAGAGACACCAACAAAACAGAATTCCTAGTCACACTGGAAGCCACACTGAGGGCCATCAACATCAATGAAGAAACACAACAAACCAAAAGACAGACAGTAATCCCGACACTGACCAGAAGGAACGAACATAACATCCTCAACACATTGGAAAGGCAAGCCCTAGAAGGACTGAAAAAGGACAAGAACATCACAATACTACCAGCAGACAAAGGGCGCATGACAGTAATACCAAATAAAGGGGACTACCTCTCCAAGGCACAGGCACTGCTAGCCGTCGAGCACACATACTGGCAAGTACAGACAGACCCGACACTGCAACTAAATCCTCAATACGCTAAAAAGACTCAAACAGACTGGACAGATCAACAAAACAGACTTCTTAAGAATGAAACCCGAAGGAACCAACACACCCCAGTTCTACGGCCTCCTGAAAGTACACAAACCAGAAGTCTCCTTCAGACCCATAGTCTCCCTACCAGGCACACTATCACACAGATTAGCCAAGGAACTACAAAGGAGACTGAGGCACCTCGTCAACAAGTCACCCCACTCTATCCACTCGGCCCAAGAGTTGCACAATTCCATCAAAGACATAAGGATAGATGACGATGAGACCATGGTATCGTTTGACGTTACTGCCCTATTCACATCAATAGACATAGCACTAGCAAGGGAAACAATGACAGCACTAATAGAACAAGAACAAGATTCCAGTGAAACCATCTCCACAGACAACATGCTGAAGCTACTGGACCTATGCCTAAACCCATTTCACTTTCAATGGCCAAATATATGAACTGATCGACGGGACACCCATGGGATCACTATCTCAGGACTAATAGCCAAGGCAGTGATGCAAAGACTGGAAAGTACGGCCCTTCCACTAATCCAACCCAAACTATGGATACGCTACATAGACGACACCTTTGTCATCATTAAACGGACCAAACTAGAGGAGGCACACAAACTAATAAACAACACCCTCACCGGAATCAAATTCACCAGAGAGGAGGAGAAGAACAAACAGCTCCCAGGGAACAATTAAGGGAAGGCCTTTTATAACGGAGATAAGGAGAAACTTCTTCAGCCAGAGAGTGGTGAATCTATGGAATTCACTGCCACAGAAGGCTGTGGAGGCCAGGTCATTGAGTACATTTAAGACTGAGATAGATAGGTTCTTGATTATCAAGGGGATCCAGGGTTACGGGGAGAAAGCGGGAGAACGTGGTTGAGGAACGTTTCAGCCATGTTTGAATGGTGGAGCAAACTTGATGGGCAGAATGGCCTAATTTCTGCTCCTATGTCTTATGGCAGTAATTTTGAGAGACTGAATTCTGTTTTTTTAAAACTTTGTTTGATTTAAGTGGAATTTGTATTTGTTGGAACAGCATACCTGTAGAATCTTAGTCTATTCGAGAATAGTCAGTAGTTAGAAGTGGGTTTATTTGGTTTGTTAATAATTTAGTTAATTTGTTCACTGTTAAAGTTAGATAAATAAATTGTTACTTGTTGATTATAAAGTGAATATCAGGGGTTTATTTTACTGAACCACTCGAAGTTGCTGAAGTAAATGGATTACACGCCTTCTTACACTTTCTAACAGATTATAGGGCAAGGCGCTCCTCTCTGAGTGTTTCGGTTTTAGTTATTGGGACCGGCGGGGTGTGGGGGTGGTGGTGGTGGTCAACCTCCACTTTATAACACAATACAGTGGCTACACGAGCAGGTCAGGGGCTTGGAATATTACAGTGAGTAACTCACCACCTGACTCGCCAAAGCCTGTCCCCATCTACAAGGCACAAGTCAGGAGTATGATGGAATACTCTCCACTTACATGGATGAATGCATCTTTAACAGCATTCAAGAAGTTTGGCATCCTCCTGGTCAAAGTAGCCTGCTCGATTGGCATTATATCCAGAAACATATCCACAACCAACACTCGGTAGTAGCAGTGTGTATTATCTATGAGAGGTGCTGCAGAAATTCACCAAAGATTCTTAGCACCTTTCAAACCGACAACCATTTCTGTCTCGAAGTACAAGAGCAGCAGGTACGTGGGAACACCACAGCTTGCAAATTGCCATCAAAGCCACTCACCATCCTGACTTGAAAATATACCACAGTTCCTTCATTATCGCTAAGTGAAAATTTTGTAATATTCTCCTGAAGGGCATTGTGGGTCTACCTACAACATGTGGACTGTGGCATTTCAAGAAGGCAGCTCACCCCCAGCAGCTCAAGGGCAATTTGAGAAGGGAGCCAGCCAGCGTTGCCCAAATCTCACAAGTGAATGAGAAAAAAGGGAGCTAGCGGGTAGAAGCCCTCAAAACATTTAAGAAAAATTTAGATGAAGACATAAAATGCCATGGCATATGAGGCTGTGGGCCATATGCATCAAAATGGATCAGAATAGATGGATGTTTGATGTCCAGCGCGGACATGATGGCTGAAAGTACTCGATCTGTGCTGTAAAAAATCTATGACTCTAGCTCTCTCAACTGAGAATAATATAAATGACTGGAAATGTTACTCTTTCTCGCTCGTCAGATCTTGCCAGACCAGTTGCGTTTCTCCAACACCTGTTTTTATTTTAGCTGTATAATCCAGATTTATTAATTGAATTCACATTTAACCAGTAGCTGTGATAGGATTTGAATGCATGTCCCCAACGCATTAGGCTGGGCTTTGGCTTACTATATAAATGCAGTTACTATGCTACCATCTCCCCTCACTGTAACATTGCTAAATTTGCAGATGACTTGAAGATAGGTTGGAAAGTATATGGTAAAGATGAAATAGCAAGGCTGCGGACCCATATGAATATGTTCATTGAATGAGCAAAGGTCTGACAGATTGACTGATTTGTTTATTGTTGTCACATGTACTGAGGTACAGTGGAAAGTGTTGTTTTGCGTACTACACAAGTAGAGCATACAATACGAAGTGCATCAGGATAGCAGAACAGAGTGCAGAATGCAGTGTTACAGATGGAGTACGATGTAGCAAACTGTCAAGCTGTTCATTTTGGCAGGAAGAGTAAAAGGACAGGTATTATTTAAACAGAGAATGACTGTTGAATTCCAAGATGTAATGTAGGTGTTCTAATGTATGTCTATGTCTGTTTGTGTGTCACAAAGGATTAATTTACAGATATATAAAGTGATTAAGAGGGCCAAAGAGTGAGGGAAAGATGGAAATGAAAGATAGAAAAGTACAAAGCGAAAATGGAAGGCAGAAGAAATGAGGGCTCATGGCAAAATGGAGGAAACAGCCTGTAGTCCAAAGAAAGTAGAAAAATGTCAAAACAAAAACTTTTCCCAACATTCGATATCTGAAAACATGAAGCATTTACAATATGTTAGATGAATGAAGAGCACAAATGGTTGTGAATGGGTAGGGAATTATAGCAGTGACAGAAACATAGTGTCAGTTTGACTATACAAGATGAAGTGCTGATCAAGGGTGAGTAACCATGTCCCTTTTATCTTTATCTAGAACCCATTGAAACGGATTCCAGACTCGCACGAAATCACACTAACCCATGGCAAAAAAACAGTAAGTGAGGGTTTTGTTCAGCCTTGACAGTGTGCAGGCTGTAGGTGCACTTGCCTTGTAAAGACCATATCTTTATTTCTCTGTACTTTTGACTGTGGAGTGAAATGGGAAAAGAACTGTTTTAAAAGCCAAGGATTGTGGAAAGATTTCTTGTGACTTCAGGTGTCAGCACTGGGACTGGATCCTTCGGGGGCGCGGCTCGTCACCGGGGGCTACGATTACGAGGTGAAGCTCTGGGACTTTGCTGGAATGGATGCCTCACTACAGGCCTTTCGATCATTACAGCCCTGTGAATGGTGAGTGACTACACTGTGAACTCCTCTGTATTTCAGGACAATTGCCTCCCTCCCCCACCCCATCCCTGACCAACAACTGGTAGTGTTCCAAACCACCTCCAATCCTTCCTAAATTTTCCAACACACTAATTCCCAACAGCCTCTTTAAACTTGCAAAAATCTCCTCCTATTCACTCTTGACCCCAAATGCCACTTGTTGCTGGGTGGGTTGCAGTGGCAGCGGGCAAGACAGGCGAAGAGCAGAGTTAGCATAATGGGGCATTCCAAAAGTGGAATGGTTAGCACGGTTTGTTGGACGCTATGATTTTTAGCTTTGATTTCTTTTAAATTTTAGCCATCAGATTAAGTCGTTGCAGTACAGCTCAACAGGCGATGTGATTCTGTGCGTGGCTGGAAGTGCCCAGGCCAAGGTGTTGGACCGTGATGGCTTTCAGGTGATGGAGTGTGTGAAAGGCGATCAGTACATTGTTGATCAAGCTAAGACTAAGGTACCAGAGTGATTTATGTTAATACTTGAGTTCCATGTTTCCCAGAGGCTGGCAGCCTCTCTTGTTAACACTGCTGGCTCTTGTTTTAAGGGGATGTTTTACTGGATGAGTAATCTAGAGGCTTTGAAGAAATAAGTTCAAATACCACAATGGCATTCCGGGGAATCTAAATTCGAAAACTAAATCTGGAATAAATTTTTTGTCTTGTTGATAATTATTATGAACCTGACTAGATTCTTAATAAAAACTTGTCCGATTCACCAATGTCCTTCAGGGAAGGAGATCTGTTGTCCTGATCCATTTTGTTGACATATGACTCCAGCCCCACAGGCATGTGGTTATCTCTTACTGCCCTCTGAAATGACTGAGCAAGACACTGAGACATTCTCAACCTGCTGTAGGTTCGATTGAAGCAAGCTTGAGCAGCAGCACCTTAACTTTCAATTAGTCACAAGTCTTCTAGACTTAAAAATTGAGCTCAGCAGTTTCAGACCATTATGGTTTTGCTTTGCCGTTTGGTGGTCTGCAACTTGAATAATATTTTTGCTTTTGGATATAGCAATTTATTATTGTACACTTGGTCTGGATCAATGCACTGCCTGTTAACTATAACCTCATCTTATGTGGTTGTTCCAACTGCATCTTATGTAATCTCTTCTGTACTCTAATCTGTCTCATACTTTTCCTCTCATTCTTCCTCTCTCTCCACTGATTCAGCCAACAAAACTCTTCACATTTCTACCTTCCTTCAGTTCTGAAGACATTATTTTTGAATTGAAGTGTTAACTCTTATTTTCCCTTCTCCAAAATACATCGACACCTGCCAAGTATTTGCTGGTTTTGTTTATGATCCCTCGTCTGGTCTTGTTCACAAGTGCAAACAGTGTTTCAGCATTTAGCAATCAAACCAGTCCATAATGTTTGAGATATCAATGGCTAAATCACAGAATGTTTCCAAAAGGAAGTGACCCTGGAAATATTAAATGCATTGGTGGTCATCGTTCATAATTTTATAGATAGTGGAGTAGTTCCTACAAATTGGAGGGTGGTAAATGTAACCACAATATTTAAAAAGGGAGGGAGAGAAAAACAGAGTTGCAAACCAGTTAGGGTAACGTCAGCAATGGGACAACTACTGAAGTCTGTATAACAGATGTGATTACAGAATATTTAGAAAGCATCAGTGGGGTTGGACAAAGCCACTGTGGAGTTATGAACGGTAAATCATTCTTAACAAATTGACTAGAGTTTTCTGCGTGTGTAACTAATAGTTTTGGTAAGGGAGAACCAGTGGATATGGTGTATTTAAATTTTTGGAAGGCTTTTGACAAGACCCATCACAAGAAGTTAGTAGGCAAAGTTAAAGCACATAAGACAGGGATAATATATTGGCATGAATTGAGAATTGTTGACAGACAGGAAACAGATAATGAGAATCAATGGGTCTTTGACTGAGTGGCAGGCAGTAATGAGTGGTGTAGTGCAAGGATCAGTGTTTGGGCCTCAGCTATTTGCAACATATATATAAATGATGTGGGAAATTGTGGAAATCGATCGTAGGAAATCATGTATCACTAACCTCTTGATTAAGTTTTTTTGAAGAAGTAACGAAGAAGATTGATGAAGGCAGAGTGGTGGATGTGACCTATGTGGACTTCAGTAAAGCATTTGACAAGGTTCAGTGTGGTAGACTGGTTAGCAAGGTTAGATCACATGGGAGAACTAACCATTTGGATACATAACTGCCTCGAAGGTAGAAGACAGGGTGACGGTGGAGGGTTGTTTTCAGACTAGAAGCCTGTGACCAGCGATGCCACAAGGATCGGTGTCAGGTCCACTGCTTTTTATCATTTCTGTAAATAATTTAGATGTCAACTTAGGAGGTATGGTTAGTAAGTTTGCAGATGACACCAAAATTGGAGGTGTAGTGGACAGCGAAGAAGGTTACTTAAGAGTACAATGGGACCTTGATCAGATGGGCCAATGGGCCGAAGAGTGGCAGATGGACTTTAATTTAAATAAATGAGGTGCTGCATTTTGGAAAGGCAAATCAGGGTTGGACTTTTACGCTTAATCGTAATCTTAATCGTAATTAATACGCTTAATAGCATGACCAATCCACATCTTTGCACTGTGAGAGGAAACTGGAGCACCTGGAGGAAACCCATGCAGATATGGGGAGAATGTGCAGACTCCACACAGACAGTCATCCAAGGCTGGAATCAATCCCAGGTCTCAGATGCTGTAAGGCAGCCGTGCTAATCACTGAGCCACTGTGCTGCTCTCCTACCTCCAAATTCTCAACATAAAGATCATGGGCAGGAAGACGCCATCTGGCTCATTGACCCTGATGACCCATTCCAAATGATGATGGCTGATCTCGGACTTCAATTCCCCTTTCAAGCCTGCTTCCCATATCTCTCAATTCCTTCAGAGACTGAAAGGTTTTCTGTCTCAGCCTTAACTATGTTTAGTAATGTGTTCAAATTGGGGGATCTGACACTGAGACGAGGCATGGAATCACAGCGTGATACATCACAAAAGAGGCCTTTTGGCCCATCAAGTCTGCACTTATCCACACCAGTCTCACTTTTCAGCACTTTATAGAACTGTAGAATCACAGAATCCCTACAGTGTAGAAGCAGGGTATTTGGCCCATCCAGTCCAAACCAACCCTCTGAAGATCATCCCAACCAAACCCAACCCTTACCCTGTCCTTGTAACCCTGCATTTCCCATGTCTAATCCACCTGGCCCACACATCCCAGGACACCTGACAATTTAGCACGGTCAATCCATCCAACCTACACATCTTTAGACTGTGGAAGGAGACCGATCACTGGGAGAATGTGCAAACTCCACACAGTCGCCCAAGGATGAAATTGAACCTGGGTCCCTGGTCCTGTGGGACAGCAGTGCTAACCGCTGAGATACGTGCCGCCCACTTGTCATAACATTCAATGCTATTGCCCATTTCAAGTGCCCATCCACATACCTTTGAAAAGCTGTGAGGATTCCAACCTCAACCACCCCCTCCTAGGCAGTGCATTCTAGCTTCTTACCAGCCTCGGGTGGAAAAAAAAATTTCCTCAAGTCCCCTCCAAAGCTCCTGTCTTTCACTTAAAGTAATAGCCCCATGGTGAAAAAAAAGCACATACAAAAAAGCAAAGAGTAGTGGGAAACTAGTAGACTGGGAAATCTTTAAAGGCCCAACAGAAAGCCACAAAAAAAGTTATAAAGAAAAGTAAGATAGATTATGAGAGTAAACCAGCTCAAAATATAAAAACAGGCAGCAAAAGTTTCTATAAATATGTAAATCGTAAAAGAGTGGCGAAGGTAAACATTGGTCCTTTAGAGGATGAGAAGGCCAATTTAATAACTGGGAATGAGGAAATAACCGAGACATTAAACAGTTATTTCGTGTCGGTCTTCACAGTGGAAGACACAAATAACATGTGGAAAACTAATGGCAAGAAAGTTCTAGCAGGTGAGGACCTAGAAACTATCATTATCACTAAGGAGGCAGTGCTGGGCAAGCTAATGGGGCTAAAGGTAGACAAGTCTCCTGGCCCTAATAAAATGCATCCCAGGGTACTAAAAGGGGTGAAAGTGGGAAATAGCAAATGCACTAGTAATTATTTACCAAAATTCACTGGACTCTGGGGTGGTTCCCGCAGATTGGAAAACAGGCAATGTGACGCCACTGTTTAAAAAAGGAAGTAGACAAAAAGCAGGTAACTATAGGCCAGTTAGCTTAACTTCAGTAGTGGGGAAAATGCTTGAATCGATCATTAAGGAAGAAATAGCAAGACATCTGGATATAAATTGTCCCATTGGGAATACCCAGCATGGGTTCATGAAGGGTAGGTCATGGTTAACTAATTTGGTGGAATTCTTTGAGGACACTACTTGCATGGTGGACAATGGGGAACCTGTGGATGTGGTGTACCTGGATTTCCAGAAGGCATTTATCAAGGTGCCACACCAAAGGCTGCTACATAAAATAAAGTTGCACAGTATTACAGGTGATGTATTGACATGGATAGAGGATTGGTTGACCAGTAGAAAGCAAAGAGTAGGGGTAAATGGGTGTTTTCTGGTTGGCGGTCAGTGGTAGTGGTGTGCCTCAGGGATCAGTG